TCCGTCGTGCGGCACACTCGGGTCTCGAACTGCTGAGCTACTGACCTTCCACAGCCTGCAGTTCAGCGTCTTAACCACTTGAGCCACCGCAGCTCCTTTCTAAACAGTAGTTCCGTTTATTTTGTGAGCTACCCAAACTGCTTTCCTTGTTAATTTATCTCTTCAAAGATAAAGGGAGAATTCCATGCAGCTCCCTCCATTTCAGTAACATTAAATATGCTGCTAGCATTAAGCCATGTAACTTGAACTCATTCATGAAGTCATGTAGTGTCACAGCTATAACACAGGCTTCAGAGGGAAAGTGACTTTGTGGCATCTTTGGCTGGAAGACAATTAGGATCAGGAGACTTATCATCATTAGCAACATCACGACATTGCTGGAGACCCATTGACATCGCTTCTCGTGTGACCCAGCAGTGAAGTCGTCATATAAGGGTGACACTTGAGCATTCACCCATAGAGATTTACCCATAGAATTTTGAATGGATGCTAGAGAATCACCCAACATGACGACATCACTTCTGGGTAACACCAGAAATGATACACCTGAAATAACAGCCTAGGGTGTCCCAACGCCCAGCCCGACACGACCTCCACCAGAGATGGCAGGCTGTCCACTGGTGCGTTGGGCGGACGGTACACTAGCCAGACAGCCAAACTCTCCCCGGCTTCCCACACAAAGCCGGCACACTCAGTGCCCGCGATCCTCACCGCTGGGAGCGCCCTGAAGGAGTAAGCCTCCCGAATGAACAAATGCTGTACTAAGTACAATTCATAGGGATATCAATAAAATATTCATTTATTATACTGCTCAAAAGATAAAAGAAGGTGAAAGTCTTCATGTGGAAGATGACCTATTTATTCACTCATCAAGAATACAACTAATTCTAATAGGACTTCCAACCAATTAAAAGCTTTTAGCTGATTAATGATATTGTTCTTAATTGATCAATCCAAGTAAACTAATTAAAATAAACAATGCAGTATGCGTTCTTAAGCTGTGGAGATCAATGCAAACTCTTACAAGATATCCCAAGTTCATAATTACTTGTTGGGAAATATGAACCTTGGCAACTTGCTTGCCTTTAACTTAAGTCAAAAATTACACTCTTGAGAGTTTTCACTAGCTCAGGTTCTAATCTAAGCCAGAGAATAACTCCTCTCTCACCCCAGTAGCTTGCTGCTGCTGTACCAGATACCTTATTTGCTCACTTTTCCAACCCCCACTCTATAAACAATTTCTTTCCCCCAGGAAGTCTGAGACCAAATCTCTCATGCTCCTTAACACCCTGAATGCTGCTGTAGCAGTGCTGAGAGTGAAAGAGAGGAGAGTGAGGAGTTATTCTTTTATCTGCTGAATCACCAGCTACCATTGCAAGGTATGAGGATATCTGTGGGGACTCACAAAAAGAATTCAGCAATTATGACCTGTAGTAAAAAAAACAAAACAAAAAACCCTAGGGATTCTCCGTTATCATTTATAATTACCAGACATTACAGCTTTGATTTGTTCAATAAAATTGCATAATAATTATTATTATTTTTAAAAATAATAATTACCAGACACTTTCCCAATTGAGCCTTGGAGTATTCACCTCATCACCTAACCAATACAATTGGCACTTCATCCCTGCAAATGGGTAAGATCAGTAGCTTTCTGTTCATGCACATTCTCTGTGGTGGCTCCCACCTTGTGGGATGTCCTGCTTGAGTTCAGGAAGGACCTTACAGTTATATCATTACACAAAATGTGCAAAACAGGAATGCTCAGGAGGGCATTGTTATAATTAGATCAGAACAGTCCACAAGCAATCTTCATATGGTAATAGGTCTGTAGTCTACTGTGCTGCTACTGATGAATATATATTACAAGTGGGGCCCCGCGAGACTCTGGGGGGGAAAATATCATATTCCCCCACTTTCTCACTGGATCTGGTAGGGACTCTGGATCTCTGCAGCCGCCGCTATGCCTGCTGCCTTTTATCTCCCCCCACTGCTCTCTGCAGCTTGCCTGGAGCAGCTCTGAGTGAGTCAGCCGAGGCTTCCTTCCCCTCCTCCCCATTCTCAGTAGCTCTCCCAGAGTTCCTCCAAGCAGACCCGCTGTCTTCCTGCCACTGATGCCACTCTCTGCAGCTCACCAGAACAGGTCCAGGTGAGCCTGCTTGAAGATTCCTTCCTCCTCCCTGTTCTTGGCAGCTTGACTGGAGCAGCTCCAGGTGTCCTACAGAGAGTGATGGTGGCAGGCCCTCTTGGAGCAGCTCTGAGATCTGAGCTGAGACTGAGAGTGGGTGTAACTGGCCAACCAACTGCCGCCACCACCTCCTCCTCAGAGAAATCAGAAGAATTGGGCCCCACACCAATGGAATCCCCACCTGAGCAGCTCGGTCCAGCAGCAGCCCCAATGGGGTAAGCATCGGGAGCTGAGAACACTTTCCAGTCATGACCAGGCTGCTCAGTCTTCCAGGATAACAGAGACACCACAGAGCCTGGCAACTCCATGTCTGCTGGCCTCTCCTGAACCAGCAGAGCCTAGGAGGAGGAGAGGGTGCTTCACAGCTCTAGAAAGCTCTAGAAAGAAGACAAAGCACTCGCCTGATTGCTTAGCAATGATCAGCATTAATTCCCGGAGCACAGGTTGATAGGGAAACAGTAAAGACCTACACCTGTAGGAAGGTGAATGCAACTATAAGGAATGACATCTGGGCCTTGGGGGCCTGGCAGCAGCTGCAGGAGAGTCTGGAGGCCGCACCATGTCCAGCAAGAAAGCTTCCTTCCTCCCCTCCCTGCTCTCAGTGGCTTGCTAGGAGCTGCGCCAAGTGGGCTGCCACCTCCCTACCTGCTGTCCCTACAGCTTACCTAGAGCTGCTCCAAGCAGGCCCATCAAGGCTTCCTTCCCCCTCTCTCAGCTGCTCCAAGCATACCACCCTCGTCTAATGATTAAGTGCGCGGACTCTAATCTGGGAGAACCGGGTTTGATTCCCTACTCCTCCACTCGCAGCTGCTGGATGACCTTGGACAAGCCATAGTTCTGTCAGAGGTGTTCTTGAAAAGAGCAGTTTCTGTCAGAGCTCTCTCAGCCCCACCTACCTCACAGGGTGTCTGTTGTAGGGAGGGGAAGGGAAAGGAGTTTGTAAGCCGCTCTGAGACACCTTCGGGTAGTGAAGGGCGGGGTATAAATCCAATCTCTTCCTCCTCCTTCTCTTCTTCTTCTCCGCAGCTTGCCTGGAGTAGCTCCAGTAGGGTTGGCAGGTCCTCTCATTGCTCTGGTGGAGGGTTCTAGGGGTGGGGGGGATGTTGCAATTATGTCACTCAGAAGTGACATCAACACGTCAGGAATGTCACTTGGGGGACATTCTAGTTTTTGGGCAAACTCTACAGTAAAATTGGGCTTAAACCATAGAATTTGCCCAAAAACCAGAGCGTCCCCCACATGATGTCTCCAATGCAATGACATCAATGCCAAGAGGCATCATTGCATCAAGGATGTTGCATGACAACATCCCTGTATAGAGGCAGGGTTCCCACACCAGCCAACTGGTCCACGGTGGGAAGAAGCCCCAACCCAGTGTGTTCCCCCACTGGGATCTGGGGGCTGGCAACCCTAAGCTCTAGGCAAGCTGCTGAGGCTTCCTGTCACCTACCAGCAGATCTGAAGTTTTGTCTCCGCTGCAACCACCAGGCCCCTTTCCAGCTGCTCTATGCACAGATGCTTTTTATTTGAGGAAGGAATTTAAACCCCCCCAATTTTCCATTTTTTGCCCTCCCCTGCAGACAGCCCTGGTCTTGCGGTCAGTGGCTTGATGTCTGACAACACCACCTAGAAGGTTCCATCCAAGCGTCGCTACTTTCACTCTGGTTCTCCGGTCTTCTGGTATTTAATTTTAAATTTTAACCTCTGAATTTTTATATGTAATTTGAATTTGATTCTGTTATTATCATGACTTTTATGTGACCTTGCAACCCACCCTGAGCCCACTCGCGGGGAGGCTAGGATAGAAATTAAAGAAAATAAATAATTTTTTAAAATGTATTTTTAAAAAGACTTTTCAGATTTTTCTGCAACCCTAGGGAATTACCCAAGTTTGCAGAAAAGCCTGTTTTGTGTAAGTGTGCCACCTATTTGTGGTTTTAGATATCTGCAGATAGGGGGCACACTTGGGAATTAGATATATAGATTGTAGGCATCATTTGGCTTTTACTACATTGTTTTATACCTTGTAATGCCATAGCATGCATTGCTCACACTATACCTCACCTCAGGCAGTTTACTGTTCTCATTTTTGTTTACATTGTTTTTGAATATCGTATTCCTAGTCCTACCTAGTGCATTTTTCATTGAATGTCTTATGTTGTATGATTACATTTTTCTCTTTATTTTGTAATCTGCCTTGAGCCTTAGTGAGAAAGGTAGGCTCTCCATAAGCTAAATAAATAAATAGAATTGTGTGGGGAGTTAAACACATAATTAGAGTCAGTCATACCATCAGTCTATAGCCACTCAGCTCTGGAACAATGGAAAGATGGTAATGCTGTAGGCTGAGAAAACTGATATACAGATTTAACTGCTTATGCAAATGTTGCAACAAAGCAGGAAGTCATGCACATAATATAACTAATCAGCTCCCATGAGTGTGGGCTATTCCAAAACCAGGGACCCCTGTCCATAGAACCTGATCTACGAGTCCTCTTATTCAACGTTATACTACTTGTGTGAGCAGTTAAAATGCACCATGTATCAGTCAGCTAAGATAACCTACAAAGTGACATAAAGAGCTTTATAAAAAGAAATGAAACACACCTTAAATAATGAATGGAGAATTCATATTGTACCACACCATTTTAAAACTATGACTTGTTCTTGTAGATGGCACAGAAATCCATGCAAGATTCCTCAAAGCTATGCATGAGGACGTAATTACACAATGCTCGCCTATGACACCAGGAAGCATCCATTGTTATGGAAAGCCATGCTTACTGACTTATTTATTACAGCAACTCACCCTCTGCATCTTCTGGCCTTGTAAGGTCAATAACTCCTGGGCCCAGTTTTCCATCTTCATTGGGCTTCCCTGATAACTGTGGGCCTAAGTTTTCAAAATGTGTTCTTTCCTGCTAAAGAGAAAAAAAAAATAACTTTTGTCTAGTCATGCTTTTTAGACTTCAGGACATTGATTTGTATATTACCTGAACTTTTGTTGCCCTTCTTCCTACCCTCACTACAGATTTATCAGTCCTTGAATACTTCTCTCCCTAATCTGTCCATTTATTGTGGGTCACAAGCCACAAAGGTTATGAACCTCAAACATTTGTTCTGCAAATTGTCTATGAATACTGTTACTGCTAAAATGTATGTTAGAAGCAGTAGCTGTAGGTTTAAAAAATATGAATAAAGTACATTTAACTGTAGGCATCAGTTTGGAGTTTATAACATATGGACCCGAGAGCGGGGGGCTCCCGGCTGGTATCAGTTGCGCGCGCATGCGAAGCACGCACACACTGCATGCACATCACCCAAAAGTGACATGACGACGCCAGGCACGCTGGGGGCAGGGCCACGGCCATACAAGGGAAAACCATAGAGTTTTCCCTTGGATGGCCATGGCCCCGCCCCCAGCATGCCCGGTGTGGTCGCATCACTTCCAAGTGACGCGCCCGTCGGGGAGGAGTTCCCCCCGGGGCCCGATATGGCACCGCCAGGGAACGGGCCTCTGGGGCGGGGATTTCCCCGCCCCCCGAGGGGACTTGGGAAGCCTAAGTTATATGGAGACAATGGGGGAGGAGGATATAACATGTTCTGTTCCACATCAAAACTGTTGACCAAGGGAGTGCTGATACAACAATGGAAAGTTATCCTATACCCCTCCCACATTGTCTCCCAAATATATGTTTAACCTGAGCAGCACGGGAACCCTATCATTAACATTAATGTATAAACTGATGCTTACATATTAGCCTCTGGACTTAAATTCATCAGCTCTCCAAGGCAGGGGAGAAAAGACACACACTTTATTTTGATATGCTTATTCATCTCAATGGGTTGTAAAAGGAAATTAATTAGCACCAGGCATTTAAGCTGACCTTTGAAAAACTCATACCAAGTTAAGTTAGCTTAAAGTGAAACAACATCTGTGATTATGAAAATGAAGGATTAGGATAAAAACTCCAGGAATCACATTTAACCAACAAAGAACGATAAAATCTTTCAATAATATTTGCTAAATGAATGAAGGGATGGTGGCATTGAGTAATACTAGAATTCAGAACTTAAAGAGTAGTTGCAATTAACACTGGCCGTTAATTTAACAGAAAATCATCACTAGTGCGAGTAGCAGCAACACTCCTCTCTTAAAGATATGCGTTTGCATTTGAACCCTTGAGAAAACACAAGTCTGGATTTTATGCAAGAGGGTTTCAAAGACAAGTGTTTCAAAGAAGGAATAGTAGATGACAGAAATGAGAGTATTATTTTGTCTAGGAATCAGAACTGAACCTCAATGGGAATTTTTAAAAAGAGAGTAAGAATAAGAAAGGACAGTGTCTTCTTCCTAGACAAACACGGTTTTGATGAAAACTTATGTGGTAAATCTGGATCAAGACCATTAAAACAATAATTAAGAGGCAATTTATGTGTCAGTCATTTCCTCAACACACTGGCAAGCCTTGCAACAATATGGCATCACAACATTCTCTCATGTGCGAGCCTCAGTGGTGGTCTGTTTCTGTATCAAACTGTTAAATAGTTATCTTTAATTTATTACTATCACGAAACAAACACACACACAATGTGTTTTCCCTCTTACCCTGTTGATACTTTTTAACACTCACTTGGCATTGTGTTGTATCTGTGAATGAACAAAACATTGTTCATGGCTATGAAACTACTATATTAAATGTCATGTCATGTTGAATTTATAGACATCAAAAAAATAGCTTTCTGTTTTGTGAACAGTTTCTGTATGTTATACTTGATGCATTATGCAGCAGAAGAGTGCTGATTGCCGTTCACTCCATTGTTCAATGACCTAGTTCTGTACTGAGCATAATTACACACTGGAAGAAAGGGGGGGGGGAACCTAGTTTGCATTTCCTCCCCAAAAATATCTAAGGAACTTGGAACTACTGTTTAAGACCAAGCCTGTGATTTCTCTAAGAGGAGCTCTGACTCCTTTGCTCAAACCTAGTATGCTTGTGCTATTCTAGTCTGATGCTTTACAAGAAAAAAATAGTTTCCTAATTAATTCTATTTAACAAAACTGTGCAGAAAGTTGTTGGATTCTTCAGTATATAGATATGCTCAAATGACTGTAAAAAACAAATAATCCACACAAAGTGACACACTATTATTTTACTTTGCCACTTTACTACATAATCTATTTTAATATTGTGTGTTTGCAAGTTACTATGCATTATAAACTCCATAGTAAATATTGCATATAATAAATACTGTAATGCAGAGAAAATGGAAATATTTTCACTGCATAATTGAATGTACTATTAAAATTATCTAACAGTTCTTTAAATGTGCAAAAATGTTGAAATACAGAACACGGACACTTACTATAGAGAGGCAAGCAAACTCAATATTCTGTTGAATATCCAACAATAACAGCATACTATCAGGACAGATCTTGTCTGGTAGTGGAGAGGAATAATTTTCCCCCAAACTCACCCATGTTTAAAATGTGAGAAAGTGATTTTTACAAAGCTGTAGCACTCAAAAGCACTATGGACACAATCAGCATTTTATGCACAGTGTTTCAAATATTTTGCATTTAACATCTTTTGTTAAGGAGTGTTGATATAACACCTGAAATCTTTGTGGCAGAAGAACCTAAGTATGTTTAAGAAAAAGGGGGAAATAGCACCCTGCTATATATCAATATGCACATTTGAAGTATCCTGCTAGTCATTCATTCTCTTTGATTTCCTCCAGAAAATATTCTGTGTTAAAAAGAAAGTTTCTGAAAGAATATCAATATTTTGACACTGAAAGAGAAAAGGGAAAATTACATGATAAAGTACAAGAAGAGTAAGGAAAGAGAAGTCAGTATAGTAATAATACTTAAAAGAACTGAAGCATATTTATGATTCTGTAATAACCCTTAGTTAGCCAGTCATTTGAATATATTTACTATTGCACCAATTCTCGGTGTGTACACACATACACCTAATCGTATTTCATATCATTTCATGTTTGCACTTTAAAATATTCTTCACAATAATGGTTGCCAGAATTTTATAGGAAAGCCGTAAAGAGGAAAAAAGCACAATGTTTGTGGTAAATGCAGACATAAGAGCATTTCAAGAGCAAATAGTGAATTAAGTGAAGTATTTTAAAGGGACACAACTGGAAAATATACAGGGCCCAAGAACGGAGGGAACAGACATGCTCTACTAGTGCCTAAGGATTTGGGGGGGTGGGCAGCTCAAGCCACTAGCACATTAACACTAGCACATTTTTTAAAAAATATCTATAAGGCATGAGATGATTATGAGTAGCCCAAGTAACAAGTTTGTTCTGAACCATTACGTTTGGGTCCTGAATGTGTGAATATATACCTGCATGTTAAATACACATCATTGTGCACATAGCTTTCAAGCGTTCACCCAAATTCAGTGTATAACATACACGGGTAATTGTGAAAAATTTACACATAGGCAAAAATTTTGCAAGGGTGTAAAGTGCCGCCAAGTTCTAGCCAATTCATGGTGACCCCAACAAGGGGCTTTCAAGGCAAGTCGGCAGCAGAGGTGGTTGGCCATTGCCTTCCTCTGCAGAGCCTTCCTAGGTGGACTCCCTTCCAAGTACTGACCCTGCTTTGCTTTCGAGATCTGACGGGCTCAGGCAGGCTATACCATGCCCTCTTCCCTCCCGCACAAGATGTATACAACATCTAAAATCATACATGCAAGTAATCTCCCATGTAAACAGACTCCCTTATTTTCTTCAGACAAAGTTTGGCTGCTGCTTTTTGGTTGAAGAATAAAGTACTTCCCTGGAAGGCATAAAGCCATAGGCATATGTGATGGGTAAAGTAAACCATCGGTAAGAATCCTCCATGTGTACACAAAAGAACCCAAAGTCAGCATCAGAGGACTCTCTTCTTAAATAAAAACTAGTCTCTTTGGCCATATAGTAGAGGGGTGACAGCACATCAGGGGCAGCATTCATTTCGCTAACAGCCAGGCCTTCATTTTCCATTCAGTGACACGATTAGGCACTTATTTATGCATTGTCAGGCACAAACATGCAGGCAACATAAAAGTTATTGAAAAAATTAAAGCCTGCTTCGCTGTGTCACAGGACTGTTGGTTAAGTGCTTTGAAATGATGATGTATGAGGTAGATGTTGCATATTAAATAAAGATATTTAAATGATAAAGCCTCCTTTAGTAAGCACTGATTAATGTTAAATGTTCGGAGCCAAAAGGGTGAGCCATCCCTCATGTTCAAATATTATCATACTCGACGGTAGAGTAACCCCAGCAATGACAGATGGACTACGAGATTATTATCCTCTTATTTCCAGAATTGCCAAACCAGTCAATTCCTGAAGCATTATTTTTAACTTTGCATTACATTAATAACTTTCTCCTCACTTCTGTGATTGGAATGATCAATTCTTCCCTTCTGTGTAAAGGGGAGAAAGTTGACTGGTGTAGTCAACTGAAAGAAAGAGGGTGGGGGGGGGATGCTGTAGGAAACTTCGGCTGAGTAGAACAAATATAAAATTGTGATCTTGTGAAGGAAAAGTAATGATAATAGTAAGCACACAATAATGGCTTTTCACTGCACTTAGGTAAAAGCTGAATTTTTGATGTGCACAGTATATTTTCATAAAATTTTATATACTATGTTTTATACACTTATTGGCTATTCCATAATAATGCGTGCGCTAACAGTAAAATTGCTCCCAAATTTATGTGTGTTATTTATTCGTTCCCACGTAACAATGCTTTTTGTTGTAAAAAATATTCTGTTTATTAATGTAACTTTACAACCGCTGCATCCAAGATCCGTGGTAAATTAATGACATTTTTATTATTTTATAGTGTCATTAAATTTTTACTGATCACTCCATCAAACAGGAGCCATAAAGGCCGTAATGCAAA